CCAAGGTAGTAATACTCGAGTGGCGCCTGGCAAAGTAAACTCCAAACCTGTCTAGTGGACACACCCACCCACCATCCAGCTGCACAGGACTGGCACAAAACCCCTTTGTCCTTTATAAGCACACAGTAGCCACCGTCCTCCCTTCAAGATGGCCATCCGGCCACTAAAGTGCCACATGGGGACAGTAAACAGGGTTCTGTGGGTGAGCTACTTACTGCAATGTGTCACAAAATTCATTTGTTTACAAATGGCTGTGCGCTCGCCTTGAGAGTCATAATGAAAAAGAGGGTACCGAGAAAATAAGCAAGAAGAACATGCCCTGCCTATGCCTGCACTGCTCTCCATAAATAGTTCTAAAACTCAGACCAGGCAAGCCCTGGGCCTGCTCACACTGATCACTGCACCCCAACTCCCTTCCCTACACGAGGAGACCCATAATCCCAGAGAAGCCACCACATCATCTGGACAGATTAAATGAGATGGGGGAAAAAAACTGTCCCATATCTTCCACCAGCCACATGGCTACAACCAGAACTCCCAGATGAACTCTCAGCCAACATCAAATATTAACATGGGTTCCTTTTCTGCTCATGATATCTAGAAGTGGGACACAATAGGGTTAAGCTCAACCTTTCATTTTATTTTTTCCGACAAGGTTTTGGGGAATCCTTAGAGATGCACAGAACTCTTACATATTTAGATAAAAAGTTCCCAGTAACTAGAATACTCAGTGGTTAGCTTATAGAACTTACATAATGAAATTAACAAGAGTGCTTCTGAAGTTTTCTCGTTCTTTATGTGGAGATTTGCTCTTTGATTTGGAAGTAGATGGTCCAGCATAACTGTCATCAACTTGGTCTAGTAATTTGCCCTTTTTTCCAATGTGTTCCATGTATTTAGCTTGAATTTAAAAAAAAAACACAAGCTAACCATCTAAAAAGCAACCTAAAACATCTAAGCAGTTAAATAATAAGCTAAAGCATACTTGAAGAGAAAACTACATGCTTTAAATTCTCAAGTAAACTATGAGTGTAATTAATTTTCTTCTGCTATCAGGAAATGAAACTACTCTTATTTTATGTCATCATAATAGAAATCTCTATTTCAAGAATATTCAATTAATAAATTTAATTTTATATTCTGAGTAATAGGCCAACATACTCAAAGTTTCAATTGTATTTGCACAGAACCTTCTTCAAATGAACAAGGTGAAAGTTATCATAAAAACAGAATACAAAACTATTTCAGAAAATTTAAAGAACCATGATTTTAAAAATATTAAAATCCAATGTAATCAATCTGATGACTCAAAATAATAAAAAAGATTAAAATGACTAATTTGGAAGTAATGTTTACAACTTATTAAGATCGCTCTTAGAAAACTTCTTAGACTTTGATGTAGAGGCAAATTCTGCTACAATAAATCAAAGTTTTTTTATAAACATCCCAGTTCCTAAAACTTCAGATTTACAATATTTGTAGTAGCCTAAAATAATTAATAAGTAGAGTCAATTATTTTCTGAAGGAAAACATTTGAGATAAATTTTTCTTCTTGATATAAATGTCATTTTGATTTTAAGTGTCACTGCTCTATTAAATAAATGTTGTGTGACTTTTTTCCCTCTACAAAATTTCCTTAAATCTAAGAATATTAAATTCTTACCATTTGACTGTTCATTTTTAACACTAAGCTGTTGAGGAATATCACTGTCCTGCTTTATACTCAATTGGAATGATGGAGCTGCCTGCTGCCACTGGGGCTTTGTACTTACCTGAAATATGAAATTTAAGCAGCATTAATAAAATAAAGCAAGATCAGAGAAAAAACTTTTTTCATGAAATACATGAGTATTTGTAAACACAGACATTTTAAACAAATTAGGACATCTGGGAAGGAGACACAAGGCAACAGCAAATCTTATTCAAGCCCATGAAAGGCTGTGGTATATGCATTTGGAAGGCATTACACAAGCTCTGCTGCTGGTTTGATGTGTACTCATACCAGATACTGACAAGAGATTTTTAACCCTCCATTTTAATGAGAGGCATTCTCTGCTGGTCTTCAATGGTAATGAGTTCCTCTCATTCCAGCTCTAAAAGATCTTCCTTTTCTCATGACTTTAAGCAGCTCTGGATTACTCTGGCAACTCACAAATTTAATCCATCCTTTAAGGCAGGGTTTATAAAATCTTATACTTACACAATTTGGGCAGGTATCATAGAAGAGGGAGAAAGGCTAGTGATGATAGCTAATGGTACTCAGCTTCAGTGCTGGGAAACAGTGGAGGGTGGTGGGGACTGCGGCAAACAGGAACACCTAGGTCTTCCAAAAAGGCAACAACTCATTAGCTGGAGTCAATTATTGCAATGCCAGAACATGGAGCCACTGTTGCTGGAACCAGTGATTCCTCAATAAACCCAGACAGGTGGATTTCAAAGTAAAATGTACATTTTTTTAATGCTAATAGAGTCTGTGTCTTCCTTTCAGATCCAGACCAACTTGATAGCCCATCTTTGTATTGGCTTCTCCTTTTAGTTTTACTTCCTCCAATCCGCTACTCCTGCTTCCAAATAAACTACCTGTACACACATTTTTACTTCAAGGCCTTCTTTCACAGGACAGTAGGCTAAGATCACTTTAAATCAATGCTTTTCCATCCTTCTGTCTGCCCTTCCACTCTTCCACTTTTATTTTGCTCCATAAAGGATTTAAATTCGTGGGAGTACTATGAGTAGGGAGTGCAAAAAGGGTGAGAATCAGGTCACCAGCTCACAGAGACTGGGGGCCACCAGTATTGGGTCACCCTGATTTCAACTAAGGGATCACCTTCAGAAGCACCAAGGTCTTTAAAGAAAATCATTCAGGGTCTTAACAACTGCCAGAAAACTATCCAAATGAAAAACTTAATATTCAAATGAAAATACTTTGTTATTTTTAAATTAATAGACAATAAAAACTCTTTAAATATTATATCCCTTAAACCACATAAAACTAAAACAATACTGAAAAAAATTTTAAATATGGCCAAATATTAACATAAAATCAGGTTTAAATTAGCCAACAAAAATATTTTTAGATTTATATGCCACTAGCAGGAAAAGGATTATTATTCAGCTCAGCCTCTGAATATTATATAAGGAAATTAATATTTCTTTTATATTTATAACCCTACATTTCTAGCTTAGGTTTATATTTCTAAACCTACTTACTGATAAGACACAACAAACTAAGAGCATTTTTACTTTTTCCAGTTTTAAAATTTCTTCAATTTTTAAAGAGAAAATAAAATGTCATTTCCATTTCCGGTCTTGTCTTTGAAACTAGAAAATTTAAGATAGATTTTGCAGAACTAGGGAAAACATTCCATGGCTCGGTTCTATAGAACTTGGCATGATAACCTGGTATTACCAATAAAAACATATTTTTAATTAAAACGTATATTTTGAAATGTTCAAGAAAATTCATCTAAGAATATTAACTCAAGTTTTCTAAATGAAAAATGTCCTCCATTTAAAATTATTAAGAATCTTCTCATATAAAGCAACACAAACTCAATTTTATACTTTATCCTCAGCTTTTATAATATCTTTCAAAAAATGCTTTGGATGAACCTTAAAAACATTATGCCAAGTGAAATAAGCTAGACATCACAGGACATATGTCACATGATTCCACTTATACAAGATACGGAGAGCAGTCAAACACACAGAAACAGAAAGTGCCAGCACTGGTTGTCATGCACTGCGGGTAGGGAGAAGGGGAGCCTATTGTTTCATGGGTACAGATTTTCAGTTTGGGAAGATGAAGTGTTCTGGAGAAGGATGGTGATGATGGTTGCACAACAATGTGGATATACTTAATGCCACTGAACTATGGTTCTGATAAAAATGGTTAAAATGGTAACTTTTATGTATATTTTAGCACGATTAAAAAATAACATTTGCATTGAACTTCTACTTAAGCTCAGCTTCTAGGAGTCATAAGTGCACAACTCAATGGCATTAACCTTAACATAATTTCTAGATGGTAAAATTTATTACAGGAAGGTTTATTTACCTACCCCTTACCAACTGAAAATGTCTTCTAACTGCCTCTTCCACAGGACAATAATCTAAAGGACACCAGGCAGAGAAAAAGTTGCTTCTAAGAACTGGTAACCAGAGGCCTATCCACCTTTGGTTTGAGGTGTTGATTTTACAGTTTATGGGATCTTAGAATGCCTCATCCAAAACAGCAATATAAGGGGGCCAAGGTAGTAATACTCGAGTGGCGCCTGGCAAAGTAAACTCCAAACCTGTCTAGTGGACACACCCACCCACCATCCAGCTGCACAGGACTGGCACAAAACCCCTTTGTCCTTTATAAGCACACAGTAGCCACCGTCCTCCCTTCAAGATGGCCATCCGGCCACTAAAGTGCCACATGGGGACAGTAAACAGGGTTCTGTGGGTGAGCTACTTACTGCAATGTGTCACAAAATTCATTTGTTTACAAATGGCTGTGCGCTCGCCTTGAGAGTCATAATGAAAAAGAGGGTACCGAGAAAACAAGCAAGAAGAACATGCCCTGCCTATGCCTGCACTGCTCTCCATAAATAGTTCTAAAACTCAGACCAGGCAAGCCCTGGGCCTGCTCACACTGATCACTGCACCCCAACTCCCTTCCCTACACGAGGAGACCCATAATCCCAGAGAAGCCACCACATCATCTGGACAGATTAAATGAGATGGGGGAAAAAAACTGTCCCATATCTTCCACCAGCCACATGGCTACAACCAGAACTCCCAGATGAACTCTCAGCCAACATCAAATATTAACATGGGTTCCTTTTCTGCTCATGATATCTAGAAGTGGGACACAATAGGGTTAAGCTCAACCTTTCATTTTATTTTTTCCGACAAGGTTTTGGGGAATCCTTAGAGATGCACAGAACTCTTACATATTTAGATAAAAAGTTCCCAGTAACTAGAATACTCAGTGGTTAGCTTATAGAACTTACATAATGAAATTAACAAGAGTGCTTCTGAAGTTTTCTCGTTCTTTATGTGGAGATTTGCTCTTTGATTTGGAAGTAGATGGTCCAGCATAACTGTCATCAACTTGGTCTAGTAATTTGCCCTTTTTTCCAATGTGTTCCATGTATTTAGCTTGAATTTAAAAAAAAAACACAAGCTAACCATCTAAAAAGCAACCTAAAACATCTAAGCAGTTAAATAATAAGCTAAAGCATACTTGAAGAGAAAACTACATGCTTTAAATTCTCAAGTAAACTATGAGTGTAATTAATTTTCTTCTGCTATCAGGAAATGAAACTACTCTTATTTTATGTCATCATAATAGAAATCTCTATTTCAAGAATATTCAATTAATAAATTTAATTTTATATTCTGAGTAATAGGCCAACATACTCAAAGTTTCAATTGTATTTGCACAGAACCTTCTTCAAATGAACAAGGTGAAAGTTATCATAAAAACAGAATACAAAACTATTTCAGAAAATTTAAAGAACCATGATTTTAAAAATATTAAAATCCAATGTAATCAATCTGATGACTCAAAATAATAAAAAAGATTAAAATGACTAATTTGGAAGTAATGTTTACAACTTATTAAGATCGCTCTTAGAAAACTTCTTAGACTTTGATGTAGAGGCAAATTCTGCTACAATAAATCAAAGTTTTTTTATAAACATCCCAGTTCCTAAAACTTCAGATTTACAATATTTGTAGTAGCCTAAAATAATTAATAAGTAGAGTCAATTATTTTCTGAAGGAAAACATTTGAGATAAATTTTTCTTCTTGATATAAATGTCATTTTGATTTTAAGTGTCACTGCTCTATTAAATAAATGTTGTGTGACTTTTTTCCCTCTACAAAATTTCCTTAAATCTAAGAATATTAAATTCTTACCATTTGACTGTTCATTTTTAACACTAAGCTGTTGAGGAATATCACTGTCCTGCTTTATACTCAATTGGAATGATGGAGCTGCCTGCTGCCACTGGGGCTTTGTACTTACCTGAAATATGAAATTTAAGCAGCATTAATAAAATAAAGCAAGATCAGAGAAAAAACTTTTTTCATGAAATACATGAGTATTTGTAAACACAGACATTTTAAACAAATTAGGACATCTGGGAAGGAGACACAAGGCAACAGCAAATCTTATTCAAGCCCATGAAAGGCTGTGGTATATGCATTTGGAAGGCATTACACAAGCTCTGCTGCTGGTTTGATGTGTACTCATACCAGATACTGACAAGAGATTTTTAACCCTCCATTTTAATGAGAGGCATTCTCTGCTGGTCTTCAATGGTAATGAGTTCCTCTCATTCCAGCTCTAAAAGATCTTCCTTTTCTCATGACTTTAAGCAGCTCTGGATTACTCTGGCAACTCACAAATTTAATCCATCCTTTAAGGCAGGGTTTATAAAATCTTATACTTACACAATTTGGGCAGGTATCATAGAAGAGGGAGAAAGGCTAGTGATGATAGCTAATGGTACTCAGCTTCAGTGCTGGGAAACAGTGGAGGGTGGTGGGGACTGCGGCAAACAGGAACACCTAGGTCTTCCAAAAAGGCAACAACTCATTAGCTGGAGTCAATTATTGCAATGCCAGAACATGGAGCCACTGTTGCTGGAACCAGTGATTCCTCAATAAACCCAGACAGGTGGATTTCAAAGTAAAATGTACATTTTTTTAATGCTAATAGAGTCTGTGTCTTCCTTTCAGATCCAGACCAACTTGATAGCCCATCTTTGTATTGGCTTCTCCTTTTAGTTTTACTTCCTCCAATCCGCTACTCCTGCTTCCAAATAAACTACCTGTACACACATTTTTACTTCAAGGCCTTCTTTCACAGGACAGTAGGCTAAGATCACTTTAAATCAATGCTTTTCCATCCTTCTGTCTGCCCTTCCACTCTTCCACTTTTATTTTGCTCCATAAAGGATTTAAATTCGTGGGAGTACTATGAGTAGGGAGTGCAAAAAGGGTGAGAATCAGGTCACCAGCTCACAGAGACTGGGGGCCACCAGTATTGGGTCACCCTGATTTCAACTAAGGGATCACCTTCAGAAGCACCAAGGTCTTTAAAGAAAATCATTCAGGGTCTTAACAACTGCCAGAAAACTATCCAAATGAAAAACTTAATATTCAAATGAAAATACTTTGTTATTTTTAAATTAATAGACAATAAAAACTCTTTAAATATTATATCCCTTAAACCACATAAAACTAAAACAATACTGAAAAAAATTTTAAATATGGCCAAATATTAACATAAAATCAGGTTTAAATTAGCCAACAAAAATATTTTTAGATTTATATGCCACTAGCAGGAAAAGGATTATTATTCAGCTCAGCCTCTGAATATTATATAAGGAAATTAATATTTCTTTTATATTTATAACCCTACATTTCTAGCTTAGGTTTATATTTCTAAACCTACTTACTGATAAGACACAACAAACTAAGAGCATTTTTACTTTTTCCAGTTTTAAAATTTCTTCAATTTTTAAAGAGAAAATAAAATGTCATTTCCATTTCCGGTCTTGTCTTTGAAACTAGAAAATTTAAGATAGATTTTGCAGAACTAGGGAAAACATTCCATGGCTCGGTTCTATAGAACTTGGCATGATAACCTGGTATTACCAATAAAAACATATTTTTAATTAAAACGTATATTTTGAAATGTTCAAGAAAATTCATCTAAGAATATTAACTCAAGTTTTCTAAATGAAAAATGTCCTCCATTTAAAATTATTAAGAATCTTCTCATATAAAGCAACACAAACTCAATTTTATACTTTATCCTCAGCTTTTATAATATCTTTCAAAAAATGCTTTGGATGAACCTTAAAAACATTATGCCAAGTGAAATAAGCTAGACATCACAGGACATATGTCACATGATTCCACTTATACAAGATACGGAGAGCAGTCAAACACACAGAAACAGAAAGTGCCAGCACTGGTTGTCATGCACTGCGGGTAGGGAGAAGGGGAGCCTATTGTTTCATGGGTACAGATTTTCAGTTTGGGAAGATGAAGTGTTCTGGAGAAGGATGGTGATGATGGTTGCACAACAATGTGGATATACTTAATGCCACTGAACTATGGTTCTGATAAAAATGGTTAAAATGGTAACTTTTATGTATATTTTAGCACGATTAAAAAATAACATTTGCATTGAACTTCTACTTAAGCTCAGCTTCTAGGAGTCATAAGTGCACAACTCAATGGCATTAACCTTAACATAATTTCTAGATGGTAAAATTTATTACAGGAAGGTTTATTTACCTACCCCTTACCAACTGAAAATGTCTTCTAACTGCCTCTTCCACAGGACAATAATCTATAATCATAATAATTTTAAAAAAGAATACCAAGATCTGAGGAATCTTTTGTGGCATAGCATTTCAGGGCTGGAAGATGCATCTCAAAGAAAACGGCTCATTTTCTAACTCAGAAACAGGCTCAGAAAGGTTAAGCAACCCTCTTAGAAGACAGAGCCTTTAGTGACAAAACTGTAACCCAGGATCTTATTACCTAACACTGATATACTTTCTGCTAGTGGCATCTTGGAAGTTTTTGCATCCAGAATATCCAAATAGTCTGTACATACTAGGATATTATAACTTAAAGTTTACTTTATTAAAATAGCTAGTTTTCTAATATGTGTACCTCATAGAATTTCTCTATCAGATAATAATCAAATGGAACACAAACTTTAAAATCAGGAATTCAGTTATTATTTACAAGTTTGAAAATCAATGAACATTTCTAAAAGTGCAAGAATCCAATGAGCCTATAGAGGTGGATTACCGTAGCCAGCTGCGGTAAAACTCTCTCGGGTGCTTTGGGTTTTTCTTCGCTCGCTGATTTATCCTGCATGAAAATATGGGGGGAAAAACCTGTTGACTATGTTAAGTCAATTCACACAACCAAATTTTACAGAGGGTCTACTATGAAGTACAGATTATCTAAAATATTCAAAGACATGCTCTGCTATTTTTTAATATCTCAATGTTTGCCTTAGAATTGCTTCTGTGGAGCAAGGGAAAAAAGTGGTACCCAACAATACGTTAGGAAAGTTTAAAAAGTGTGCAAAGCTTTTTAATCCATCATGTCTTCCGGGAATTCATCTGAACCTAGTTAGTGTCCAGGGCTAACTCAGCTCCACCACCCTTCTCTATTGCTAAAATATCATTTTTGTTCTGTTGACAATTAGAGTGGTCCACTTCCTAAGGTGATAATGTATTCAGGTTAATGCACTCTCAGGTTGCCATACTTATACCACAACTTTCAGAGAAAAGTGCCGCTATCTCCTTTGAACAGGGAATAATTCTATGTAGGATTTCATCTACACATGACCACTGTTGGATGGTCATTTGATTTATAAAACAGATAACAGGAGCTGTGCTTTGGCCACTTATCAATCTACTGCCTCTCAGGTCAAATCTATGCTCTTTGCTCTCCATTGTAATTCTCGAACAGGACTCCGTAACATTTCTCCAGCAGGCACAACATTGTAGAGGGCCTAGAGGTGACTTTTCTCCCTGATTCCAGGGCTTTTCCTCCTTCCCATGGTGTGGCTTCCAGCAGTCAGCATCCTTGCCATGGACACTTTCCCAGCCTGTGGTGTGTGGCTGACCCAGGGGCAGACATCCTCTAGCAGGTTTCACCAGCAACCCTATGGGCATCTTTCCAGAAAGTTCCCCTTACATCAGAAGTAGATGGCCTTTCACCCTTCTCAGCAACCCAGCAGGTGGGTTTCTCACCACTCAGCCCAGGTCAGCAGCAGGCAGGAGGAAATAGTTGCTCAGACACAGAACTCCCGAGAGACGGGACCCAACCAAGACACATAATTAAAATGGCAAAGATCAAGGACAAGGACAGAGTATTAAAGGCAGCCAGAGAGAGAAAAAAGGTCACCTACAAAGGAAAACCCATCAGGCTATCATCAAACTTCTCATACACATACACTGCTTACTACAACCAGGTCTGTTTTCTACAGTTCCCAGTGGCCCACAGGATATGAAGGGAAACACAGGCACAATATTTTTGGGAAAAAAGGCTTAAAAGTGCTCTCAGAGTGGAAGGCTTCCCTCTGGGGAGACAGTGTGTGGCAAAGGCCTTGAAAGAATTCAGTTGTAGAGGATAAGGAGGAAAGGTTCTGGGATATATGGTCCAAATGCCCTGGAATTTTCACACCAGGATACAGAGGCAATTCAAATGAGGTCTATTGTATTGGAGCCACGACAAATGTAGAAAACACCTTGATCAACCCCAGTCTCCTACACAAAACCACATACACCTGACTTTTTAGGATCTCAGCACTACCCATTCTGCATGCTGAGTTATCACCCCTAGTCTCATCAGCACACTGGGTGGAGAAGGGAAGCAAGAGCCTTAGTGTTTCCATCTTATACTGCAGTGCAGGATATCTGTCTCATAGACGTTTTAGTAAATAGTGGTTCTCAGCTCACCAAGAAGAGCAACTGCAAGTTACACATAAACCAGAATACCATCTAGCCAAGTAACATTCTTCAGCAATGACTTAGGCCTATGCCATCCTTTCCCTCTGTTTTGGCAACCTGGTGACAATGCCCCAAGAAACTCCACTGGCTTTTCTATCAGAAAAATCTTGTGCCTCCCACCCTTTCCCATCCTCTTGGGCTCACCTCTGATTCCAGACATGACTGCAGTGGACAGTTCTCTACTGGCTTCAATTCATGTAGGAATGACAGGGTTTTACTTCAAGAAAATGTCTTTGTTTTCTGCTGAGGGGCTTCTCCAATGCCATTGCCTGGGACTCTCGGGGTACCCGTTGCACACACACCAAGCAGCCAGAAGTGGGTGGCCAAAACATCCTCAGGAGCACCCTCCACCAAAGTGGATGACAGCTCAGGAGTAAATGCTGCTCCCTGACTGTCCGCCGGCCCGCGGTCCCAGGAAGCACTCCATAAGCCGCTCAGAAGGCCACCGCAGGCCCACCCAGGCGCCTAGGGTGCCAACCAACTTGCCGAAACAGCTTCACGTTGGCCCCTCCTTCCTAGTTTAAGTCTCCTGGCCTCTCACTCCTGCTTCCTGGGATCGCCTCCCAAATGAAGTGCACACAAGTCCTTGTCTCAAGCTCTTCTTTCACAGGAAAACAAACTAAGACAACTTAAAAGTCATTGCTTTTCCATCTTTCTGCCTGTCCTTCCACTATTCTACTCTATCTAATCTTGCTCCACAAAGGATCTGAGAATCGTGGGAGTACTATGAGTGAGGAGTGCACAAAGGGTGAGAATCAGGTCACTGGCTCACAGAGACTGGGGGCCACCGGGGCTGGGTCACCACTGATGGCCCCTCCTTCCTAGTTTAAGTCTCCTGGCCTCTCACTCCTGCTTCCTGGGATCGCCTCCCAAATGAAGTGCACACAAGTCCTTGTCTCAAGCTCTTCTTTCACAGGAAAACAAACTAAGACAACTTAAAAGTCATTGCTTTTCCATCTTTCTGCCTGTCCTTCCACTATTCTACTCTATCTAATCTTGCTCCACAAAGGATCTGAGAATCGTGGGAGTACTATGAGTGAGGAGTGCACAAAGGGTGAGAATCAGGTCACTGGCTCACAGAGACTGGGGGCCACCGGGGCTGGGTCACCACTGCTTTCAGCTACAGGGATCCCTTCAGAATCATGAAAGGCTTTAAAAAAAATCTCTTTAGGTCTTAACTACTGCTGGAAAATTTTATACAAATGCAAACCTTAATGTTCAAATAAAAACTTTTTTTATTCAAAGGATTACTTTTTAAAATATCTCTTAAAATATGATGTATCTTAAAAGACATAAAACCCAAAGGATTTGGAAGAAAAACTGCAAGATACTGTCAAATGTGAACACAGTATAAGTTTTAAATCAGGCAAGAAAAGCATTTTAGACAATTATATGCCTCACTGGCTAGAAAAGAGTATTTATCTCAGCCATGGGATATTTATTCAATAAGTCAGTTTCAATTTTGCTGATATTTCTAAGCCTATATACTAGTGACATAAAAAAAACTAATGGTGATTTTTTTCTCAGTTTTAAAATTTGCATAAATTTTAAAGGGAAAATAAAGTTTATATTGTATTTCAGTTATTTGTCTTTTAAACTGGAAAATATTTGCCGAACTAAAAAAAAGCCATGACTTTATTTTGTAGAACAGAGCGTGATAATGTTGGCATTATCGATACATACAGGTTCATAATTAAAACATATATTTTGAAATGTTCAGGAACACTCATGTAAAAATTTTCATTTGATATGTTTTTAAGCAGAAAGAATCATTTCAAATTATTAGGAATCTTTTCTGTTTGAAACAATCCAGATTCCATTTTATAGTTCATTCGGAACTTTTAAAATATATTTTAAAACAAGTAATATTTGCATTCAACCTCCAGTCAAACTCAACTTCTAGGAATTACAAGGGTATAACTTAGTGGCATTTAACTCAACATAATAACCAGAAAGTAAATTTTATTGCAGTAACTTTTCCAGAATTTTACCAACTGAACATATCTATTAACTACCTCTTCCATAAGACAATGATAAAGTCAAAATAATGAAAAAGGGTGGAAAAGTCTAAGAAATCTTTTGTGTTACATTTTAGCATTTTGATGAGGTACCCTCCATAAATCAAACCAACTCTTCTAAGTTTCAGACTCAGAAACTGGGGTTCAGAGAGATAAGTGACTCCCCGATAGCTATTAGTAACAAATCTGTATCCAAAGCCCTCATTTCCTGACTCTAATGCTGATTCTGTTTGCCCTTTGCAATTCTTTTATTCGGAATACTCAGATAATCTGTACATGCTAGGTAATTATAGCTTATAGTTCCTTTATTATTTTTCCTAAAATGCATACCTCATAGAAGTTCTCCTTCAGAAAAGGAGCACAGAATTTAAAATCAGGAATTCAGTAACTTATTTGCAAGTTTAAAATAATCATTATAAAATGAATAAAGTATGCAGATAGATTTGTAAATTACCATAGATAACTGTGGTAAAAATCTTACTGATGTCTTGGATTTTTCTTTGCTGGCTGATTTATCCTGCCAGAAAAATATGAAAAACAGCACTGTTTACACTGTTAATGCTAAAATTGATTCATTCAACCACATTGTACAGTGTTTAATATAGAGTAAAGTACATTTTATCCAAAATATTCTAAAACATACTCTACAGATGGTATGATACCATGCACAGAATATCATACGAAATTCACAAAAAATTATTAGAGCTAATGAAGAGTTCAGCAAGGTTGCAGGATACAAGATCAATGCACAATAAAACTCCATTTCTAGATACTGGCAATGAATTATCCAAAACTGAAAGTAAGAAACAAAACCATTATGACAACATCAAGAAGGATAAAATTATTTAACAAAAGAATTCAACACAAAATGTAAGACTGTACAATGAAAGTTATAAAACCTTATTGAAGGACATTAAAATAGACCTTTACATGTGGAAATACATCACATGTTCATGGACTGGAAGATCAGTATTGTTAAGATGCAATACTTGCCCTTTCAAGTATCTACAGAAACAACATACTCCCTGTCAAAAGCCCAGCTGCTTTTTTTGGGTAGAAATTAACAAGTTGATCATAAAATTCATATGGAAATGTAAGGCACCCAGAACAGCAAAATAATTCAAAAAAGGAGAAAAAAGTTTCACAACTTACTACCACATTATGGTAATGAACACTGCAAAGTATAAAAATGTGGATCAAAAAAATAGAATTGGGAGCTTACAAGGCCATATATTTACAGGCAATTGATTTTTGACAAGAGTGACAAAACAATTGAGGAATTGACCACATCTTCTTTCAGAATTTTATCAGAATTAGTATCCAAAGTTGATTCAGCCCCACCTCCCTTCCCCATGGCTAAAACTTCATTTCAGATCCACATTGCATGAACATTTTGGGATTTTGATAGAAACACACTGAATTCCTAGAATAATTTGAGGAAACTGACATTTTTCTGAATATTAATGCTTCTCTTTCATGAATACATTTCTTTGTTCAGATCCTGGGAGTGTATCCTTCAAAATATTTTATAATATTCTTCATAAGGGTCTTATACATTTTTTGTTAGACCTATTCTTGGTATAAAGGTTTTGGATGAAGAATGTATCATAGGATCTAAACAACTAATTTACAAACATTTAATCCTACCTGATTTGTAAACAGTGAAGTATCTAAGGATCTTATTTATAATTTCTGTGATGGTTAGTCTTTGCTGGCCCCAGTCAAGTCTCTGTGCTTTTCTTTCTACTCTTTGCTTGAAAGGCTGAATTCTATCTCTGGGCTCCCAGGCCTCTGGCTCCTGGTGTGGATTAAGCAATGAGAGACACCAGGAGGATAGAGAGCAAGGGAAGAGTTTAGCTTCTTTCTTTCCTAGCAGTAACTGGTTTCCATAGTCTGACAGTGGCTGAATTCTTCCAGAGCTCAGGCCCCATCAGGAAGCTACCATTCCAAGGCCCCAGCTCTCATCAGATTCTGAGAATGGTGCTGAATTTCTTTGACCCATCAGACCTAGGAATGTAAGAGCTTCCTGTAGTTACTAATCCTTAATGGCCACCCCATCCTGTTGACTCCTTCCCTAACCCTTACCCACACCTCTAAAAATGGACTAGTTGTAAATTTTCCTCAATTAAGTCCTTTGATCATGCCATCTGTTTCCTTTTGGGATCCTAATATCATTTTATAATTTTACATTACCAAAATTAAAATTGCTAAAGAATCTGCATTCTTAAGTAGTCCGGCTTTGCATTTAGTTTTCATTTTACCAATTTTCAACTACTTGTCTATTAGAAAGGTTAATATAAACCTGAAATGATCGAAATTTAACCACCATTCTGGTCAAATGACAACATCTATGAATGTGTATGGTTAAATCAATAATCTTACGAAGTTGTCTGGTTAAATCAACAACAACTTCTCAAAATGTAATGGGGTTGATTTAAATATAGTTATCATATGTTTGAGTTATAGTTGGTAAAGCTATTACCATTCTGTTGGCCTCATATCCAACTGTTTTCACTCTCTCCTTTTAAAGCAATGGCATCAAGAAGATACAATGAAGGAAAATGGAATGAGCATCATATAAACGCAAAGCTACTTGACTTAACAACTGGAAAAAGCACTAGGGTAGAGCCAGGTTGACAGCTTTATTCCTCCTATGTGCTTGCAATCTGTCATAGATTTGTGGGGAGCTTTGTGGTCTTTGCATATTTGTAACTTTAAACCCCTGAAATTCCTTCAAAATCCCTTATTTTATGTTTTAACTAATTTTAAAAATGAAATGAGCAGTTGCAAAAGATTGCTTTTTCTTTTAAATACCCAACTTAAGAACTCAGACTACTATTCTTGAAAAATGCCATGTCACTCTCAACCTTCCACTAATGAGATGAATGTGTTAAAATCTCCTTCAGCAAATATGATTTATCACTTGCTCACTTTCTCAAACTAAATATATACATAAGTAAATGTCACATAAAAATGGCATTTCCGAAAGTTTAATCCACTCCATTTGTTTTAGGTTAAAATATTAAACCTTTCATCCTGTCAAAAGGAAATCTATACTTGAAATTAGCATAAATGAAAATATCAAGAGTTTTAAAGATCGACCAGCGCAGTGAGAGAGGGACCTCTGCTGCTTAAAAAAAATGTATGCAGAAAATGGAAATAATCCTAGATCGGTTCATGCTCATCCTTTTAAATCCCAATGCCTTGTCAATAATATAGGTTCCTTCAGAGGTGAGGGGAAGGGATGAAGGGTGTCATTTCCAAACATCATTTTTTTAATATAAAGTGAAACTTAAAACTTAACTGCCAATATGCTTTTAGTGGATGCTTTTTAGTTGTATATTGGTCAACTAGAGGCTTTGAAAAGTAAAATCTGTTCAGAAATACCAAATATAGTACAATGCAAATATAGTACACATGTATTTTAAATTTCAACAATGTAAAGGATGGTTCAAGATCAGGCCAAGGACTGATATGGACATCAAACAAATAAGTTGCTTAATGTATATTGATAAGTTTTTTTAAAACACTTTAATTACCATATCACTTAGAAAAAAATCACTAGCTCAGTCTATTAATCCAATTGCTCAGCTTTTTGGTTACCTTTATCTCAATTTTTTTTGCTTGTTCATTTGTTCTTTTGCTACTAATTATATGGTAAATGAATCAGTGTTTTAGTTCTCAATGTAGTACACATTTCAATAAAATGTTGAAACCAAATTTCTTTGATCATCTAAGCATTAATTACTTACTTATTTGGTTACTGAATTACAGTTTTGTTATTTTCTGTTAGTGATCTACAACCTAATGGATAGGGGAATAAATCACCTTTTAACACTGTTTCCATAATAAATTCAAACCCTACAAAAAATCATGACCATTGAAAAGGAAAGAATTATAGTTTAGTGTCAGAACAAAGAATTTTTCCAAATTTAACCAAAATTTGCAGGCTTAAAAGCAGCTATTTTCCATTAAGTACCACGATGCCTAAGGGTCTGATTCAACGGGAGAATTAAGATCTGTTTTCTAGCTAGCCAGAATAAAGACCATGCTTTATACTTCCCCATTCTGTTCTGACATTAAAAAGTTTGACCATTGTTCTGCATTTCTTTCATAGTTGCTCTTAAGTTCAATAAAGAGTTATGAACAGTAGCTACTGTCACATGTATCTTTTATTACATGTCATAGGGATATTTTAAGAAAAAAAAGTCCGTTTGCCATTTACCAAATCCTTTTACGTGTGGCATGGCATGGTATCTTACTTGAACTTAACAACAATCTTGCGAGGAAAAATTGTTCTGATTTCACCCTCAGCATAGAAGGGAAAGAAGGCTTAAAGAGAATGTGATTTGCCCAACGTTGCACAGCAAGGAAGGGCTTGGATTCCAAGCCTAAAGTCCAAACGCACCACATCTCGCCCTGAGCATCCCCCACCCAAAAGCACCCACCACTAGCGCAGTGGGGCTGCGAGGTAAACTCCGGAGCCCTGATCGGCTGCTGTGTTTGGTTGTTATGACAACATCAAGGACGAACCGTCGGGAAGGAAACCTCCACGAGTTTTCAAGGAAAGCGCTCAGGATCCCAAATCATAACCAGGGTAAAGGAAACTGTACCCCGCGGGATCACAACTGGGGAGTCCGGAGATCGGGCTTCAGTCACTTTTGAAATAGGAGGGAAGCTTCGCGGCGGGGAAAGCCAGGTGAGAAGCCGCCCTCTTACCTGCTCGCTGCTCATGGCGGTGGGGACGCTCGGGCAGCACCCGGGGGATTCTACCCAGCGCCCCTAGGAATCCCTCGGAAGAGAGAAGCACAGTCCGGGACTAGCCTGAGTCCGCTCGCTCAGCGCCTGGGCTCCCGTCCCGGCCGCGTTGGCTGCTAAGCAACAGGCCGGAGCAAGTTCCATTTCCGGTCCTTTGGGGCTGCCGGCCCGGAGGGCTTTCCGCAGGAGGCACTTTTCCGGGCTCGCGGTGGCGCCAGTGAGCCAGAGTGTTGGTGAGCCCGCGCGGTGCGCCTTGAACAGCAGCGCTGGAGGCAGTGGGTGCTTCTCTCTACCTTGAGGAGTGAATTCCCTTTGATTACTGATGGTCACACTTCTGCACCTTCCTTCTAATTTAGCTATGTGTTGCGGACCCTAGCCTTCACCCCTCATTTAACTTTGTGCCTAGAAGTTCTGGGAGGACTAGGGGAACGAAGTGGCAAATTTCAATGCTGTTGTTACAAAATTAGGAAAACAAAGCATGCAAAGGCTGTAGCCGGTAAACACCTTCTTTCTATTATCCACGTGCTTCCTACTCCCCTTCTTCTCTTGACTTCCTCACATACTAGAAAACTACCCCTTGGAAAAATACAAGAAAAAAAAACCTACAAGAATTCATTTAAACTCGCATTCCCATATGGTTATTATGAAAGGCGCTGTGTAAGTACTAGGCACCTCAGTGTGACCAAGATGACTATCCCTTCAGCCCAGAATGACGGGAGTATTCAAATAAGCACTTAGAATGGGGTAGAGACAACACAGCAATGAGAGTCCTCAGGGAGAGCACAATGCAACCACTAGCTTCTCATGGAGCATGTGGAAGGGATGTGAAAACTGAGATTTGACAGAACACATGGCCAGACTAACAGTGTTGTAGACAGAAAACAGATTACCTACTAAGTCCTGAGACAAGGGTGGATGGCTGTCAGCGTTGAAAATGGTTCTGAAAGATTGGAGAGGAGATTTGGGTAAAAAGAGTTAGAATCTGGGGATGAAGCTGAGCTGAAAAGCAGGTGCTTTGTCTTAAAGGAGTCAACAAACAAGGTTAGGAGTTTAGATTTCAAGGGCAATTGGCCTTTGCTGAAAAGTTTTCTGTTGAGAGATGACAGGATCCCATCCTAAAATTCAAATGGAATGTCAAGGAACCAGGAATTGCCAAAGTATTATTGAAAAAGAATAAAGTTGGAGTACTCATACTTCCTGATTTCAAAACTAGCTACAAAGATACAATAATCAAAATAGTGTCTTTTCAATAAACTAAACTGGGGAAACTTTATTCACACACAAAAAATGAAGTGGAACTTTGCCTAATATGACTTTAAAAATTAACTAAAAATAGATCAAAGTCCTAAATGTTAGAGCTAAAACTATAAAACTCCTGAGAAAAGAAAAAAAAAACAGGGAAAAAGCTTTATGACATTGTATTTGGCAACTTCTTGGGTAAGACACTATTGCATGAACAACAAAAAAATAGGCAAATAGGACTTCATCAAAATTTTAAACCTTTGTACATCAAAGAACACTATCAACAGAGTAAAAAGGCAACACACAGAATAGGAGCAAATATTTGCAAATCATGAATCTGGTAAGAGGTAAATATCCAGAATATATATAGAGAGAATTCCTAAAACTCAACAACAGTAAACTACCTGATTCAAAAAAAGGCAAGAGAAGATATATGCATGGCCAATAGACCTAAGAGATGTTCTACATCATTATTAGGGAAATGCAAACCAAAACCATAGTGAGATACCACTTTATATCCATTCGAATGGCTATATTAATAATAAAAAAAGACAATAACAAGTGTTGATGAAGTTTTGGAAAATCTGGAACACTTACACACTAATGGTGGGAATGCAAAACGGTACAGCTGCTATGGAAAATAGAGTGGCAGTCTCTCACAAAGTAAAAATAGAATTACCGTATGATCCAGCAATTCTACTTCTGGGTATATACCCAAAAGAACCAAAAGCAGGGACACAAACATATTTGTACACCCATGTTCATAGTAACATCATTCATAACAACCAAAAGATGGAAGCGACCCAAGTGTCCATTGATGGTTGAATGGATAAACTGAATGTGATAATACATATAATGGGAATATTCATAGTATATATACTAGTATTTATTTCTTACAGTTACACAGAAATATAGGAAAATGCTCTAATAGAACAAAATTTTGCATAAGAAGCAAACTCCCAATCCACCTCTCACCTCTCCAGGGCCAACCACTGTTACTGGGTTCTTTGGCAGATTTCCAGAAATTTTTATATAGAGACATATATATCTTTTATAGTTATACAAATGCTCACATACTATGCAACCTATTCTGTAATCTGCTTTTCCTACTCACAATATAACTCAGAAGTGGTTCCATGTTATCCATCTTTTCTAATACTGCATAGTACCCACTATAGATTCCCGGTTTCTTAACCAGTCCATTATTGATGGATACAATGGGAATGTTATTCAGCCTTAAAAAGGAAGGAAAATCTGATGTATTACAAAATGGATAAACCATGAAGGCATTACATTAAATGAAATTAGCCAGTCGCAAAAGGACAAATACTGTATGATTCCACTCACAGTAAGGGTACATGAGGCCAAATTTAGGGAGACAGAATGGTGGTTGCCAGGATAGGGAGAATGAGGAATTATTATTTAAAGGGTAGAGACTTTCAGTTTTGCAAGATGAAAAAAGCTGTGGAGATGAATGGTAATGATGGTTGCACAACAATGTGAAGGTACTAAATGCCACTGAACGGTACACTTAAAAATAGTTAAAATCATAAAGTCTATATTCTGTATATTCTATGACAATTATGATAAAAATCATTTTTTTTAAAAAGAGGAAAATTGAAGCCAAAGGGGAAGGAGGAATGACAGGATCATATTTGCATTTTAGAAAGATCATCCTAGTTTCATCATTAGTGGAGAGACAGGAGAAAGGTAAGGATGGAGGCAAGAGGAAGGCCTGTGAGGAGGCTGCTACAACAGCTTCAGTAAGAGATGATGGTGACTGGTACTGGGCTAATAACAGAGGCAATGCAAGTGGACAGATTCAAGAGATATTTGAGAAGTGGACATTTAGTTGGGAGAAATAAAACTGAGGATCATTTTATTGCTTTGAATGGTTAGGGAGAGGGAAGAGGAAGAGCAGCAAGCTTCAGAGAGAATGTGATGAGTCCTCCGTGGGACCTGGTGACTGTGAATCCCTATAAGACATGTAAGTGCATATATGGCCAGTAGGTATTAACATGTTAGTCAGAACTCAGGAGATGATTTCTGAGCTAGGGACATAGGTTTGAGACTTATCAACATATAAATGACATTTGAATCCATGAGCATAAATGAGATGGCTCAGACTATATAGACAAAGAGCAGAAGAGAATCTAGTATAAAAAGAGCATTTAGGTGTTCACAGAAGGGGATCCTGCAAAGAGAACTGAGAAAGAAGTGGCCAGACATAATTGGGAATTAAGACTATTGACTCATGGGAACCAAAGGAAACAATATTTCAAGAAAGAGAATATAGTCAACAGTGTCAAAAGCCTCCCAAGTTAAGTAAATTAAGGGTGTAAAAGTATCCACTAGACAGAGCATAAAGGAAGTGAGTCATTGGCGATTATGGCAAAGGGCTTTCAGTACAATGAGGTAGGAGGATGCAAGCCTAGGTACCAGAGGTTGGAAAAGGAAAGGGAAGGAGATGCCAATGCAGACAAATCTTTAAGAAGTTTGGGTTATGAGCAAGAGAGATTCAGTGGGAGCTGAGGGTAATCAAGGAGACAAAAGGCTTTATTTTTTCAAATGAGAGAGTTTTGTTTGTGATATAATGCAAATGGAAAGGGAGAGGATGATGATGAAGGAAAAAGCATAAGAGAGATAGAACTACGTTCTGAGGAAGAGACACCTTGTAGGGACACCTTTAGAGGGAGGAAGAACAAAGTGGAGATGTGGATGTGAAAAGCTTTGCTGGCGTGTAGTTGGTGGCATTCTGAAAAAGTGAGTTTCATTTCCTCTGTGATGTAGAAAGCAAAATCATCTGCTAAGAACTAGATAGAAGGCAGAAGTCAGGGGTCAGTAAAAAACATGAGCAGAATGAAGAACTTTTGAAATAACTCTTGGCAGAAAACGAGAGAGAATAGAAGTGATTGAGGAAATACAGGAAAGGCCAAGTTGACTTGAATGCCTCTGAATTAGTAGTGACAGAAATCTGTCCTCCAAAAATGTTGAACAGACCACGCTCAGGTTCAGAAAAGACAAACATGTGGCACATTTCCCAGGCTGGCATGATGGAAGAATAAACTGTTGGCTCACAAACTGGATCCCATACAGAGAGGGCAGGGAGAGACCAAAGAGATTCAGGCCACTCCAGCTTTGTAAGTGTCAGGATTAAGTAACTAAGGGAAATTATGAGGCTAGTCTTGGGTGGCCACAAAATGAGTAGATTTCCACACACACCAGTATCTTCAAAGTTTATACAGAAACCTTAACAGGGTTCAGGCACACACACTGTCCAGTCTCAATATCCATCAGTCTTGTTAACCTTAAAAATGATACTATCACAGATGGATTAAAGATGG